TATACAAAGTAAGCACCCTGGCTTCCTGTTGAGTCACTTAGCCAAACCTCTAGACTCCCCAAGTTGACACAATGTATCATCCATAACAACCTCAAATTACAGTGACACACGCATACCCAAGTTTCTAGAGGCACAATTCATAACAGTTAAATCTTGGAAGCAGCCTATATGTCCATCAACAGATGAATGGATAAAGAAAATGTGGTATTTACACCTGATGGAGTACGACTGTGCCATAAAAAAGGATAAACTTGAGTCATTCGTAGGAATATGGATGCACCTTGAGACCATAATGTTATGTGAAATAAATCAGACACACAAGCTTAAATGTCACATATGAGAGACCCAAATTATAAATAAAAAGCAACATAAAATCGAATGTAGAGACAGATCTTTCTCAAATGGAAAGGGAATCAAGTGACTGTGGGAGGTGGGAGGAGGGGAAGGGAGAGAGCATGAAGAAAAGGAATTAAAATGTGTTATGACCTAGATTCAGCCTCCAGTATCTTAAAAACCTCAGAGGTATAAAGAGAGATCCACAACATATGTTCTCGGTCCCTTTGTAAAAAATCAGCCGGCTAAAGAAAAACAAGATACGTTATGTACACATACCAACTCCATATAAGGAATGCAATCATTATGTACTGCAGATATGTACTAACAAAAATTTTGAAAAGTCTTTGCACAAGGCTTCATCAGAAAGATACTACGTCCCTGAAATCTCAGTGTGATGCTCAGCTGTCAAATAGTGCTGCGTTTACCACACACTGATCTCTGGAGTCACCTCCTGGAAAGAATAACTAATCCCTCAAAACTCTGCTAAAGAGCAGCAGCTAAGTCAGGCAACTGCGAAGAGTCTCTGGCATGAAAGCCCCACAGCCAATGGGACGGAGTAACTACAGAAATGGGCAGTCCCAAGTCCTCACCATATGTCTTTGCCGTCACAGGGGGATAACTACACTGAAATTTCCAAACAAGCAGTTAAGCTGGCCCAGCCATTACAGCAAATGTCGCTGTCCCCAGGTGCTCACCTCTGCCTTCCTTGTGGCCTTAAGGTCTCAATGCTCCTTGGGCTGAGCCTGTTCTCCCTGTGCAATCTGCAGCTTTGGCAGCCCTGCTGGTGACACAAGCCGCGGCAGAGCACGCCTAGCCAGGATACGGTGATGCCCTCTTAACTCTCTCCCCGTAGATTCCCATGATGCTCTGCACCTACCCCGCCCACATTCCCTTCTGGCTTCTGTCCTCCACGCTCATTTGCAGGGAGTTAAAAAAACTAACACACTCAATAGGACCTTTCCGGACCTTTCCAAACGCAGGACCCCCACAGGTCCTATGCTGCCGCAGACACCACTGTCCCTACTTCTTCTGACTCACTGATTTGGGCCAGCAGGACCCCCACCAGCCTGGCCTCCCGGATGCCACTGCACTTTCCGGTCTCCCTCCTCTCTCTGCTCCAGCTTCGCAGTGGGGGAGAGGTGCCAGCCCCAAAGTCAACTTGTCTGAGTACAGACACACTGCCATTTTACCTTAGATTAATTAAAATTAAGCAAAACCCCAAATTCAACTTTTAGTTACTTGGCCGTCTTCCAATGCTGGGCACCCACCTGTAGATAGGAGCTACCATGGCGGACAACCTAGCACTGCGGATTTATACTTAAAGGCCTCTTGCAAGCAATCTCTCAGACAGGTTGGGTCAACACTTACTACAAATGCTGCCTGGGAAGAGAAGTCCCGTGAGGAGCAAGACTCCATCGGGCAAGACAGAGGAAGTTCCTCTGCAGCACCCTGCGGCCAGGCCCTCTTTTCCCCTCGTTTCTGTTTCTGTAAAGGCTTCTCCTTCTTACCCTGCATCTTTCCACCAGCAGCTCTAGCAGCAACCATTTCAGTTCACACCGGGGACTGCCCTGCACTGGTCCAATGTCCAGCAGATGAAACAGAACCATCCCATGTGGTCCCACGCATCTTCCCAGCACAGACTTCCCTGACCGCCTCCATCCCAGCTAACCAGCTCCCTGCCCCAGGCCAGACCTGCAGAGCATCCTGTCCTCGCTCCTGCTCTGTCCTCGCTCCTGCTGTTCCCTTCCAGTGGAGAGCCATGCTGTCCCGGCTGCCTGATGAACTCCCCTCTGCCTCCAGGGTGAGCCACAGCGCCACACTCCCAAGCAGAGCACTGTGCTCCCCAGATCCCCACGTCTTCCGGACTCCCTTTACATTAGAGCTCTGCCCCTGGCACATCCTTTAACTGTTCACCGGGGCTTCTGGGGTGCACTGCAGTTTAAATCCCTTCAGGCACCTGTCCTCCCCAGTAGGCCGTGACCAGGGAATCACCCACCCAGTGGACCACAGCGAGGAGAGGGAGCTCACGCAGGCGGCAGGCCCGGCTCCAGAGGGCTGGATTTGTTGGGGTGATTGATGGTGTTAAAAATCCATACTTACTCGTCAAAGAGTACAGCCTTCTCTTCCAGCTGGTCCTGGCTCTGACAGGGACTGAAAATGAGGTTCTGGAACACCAGAAACAAAACAACAAAGCATTAATTCTTGTGAGGGAACAGGAACGAAGAGCTCACAGCCAGCCAAACTGCCGGCTGCACGGAACAGAGCACCCTCCGCAGCACAAGCGGCCGGGACATGCACCCTGCGGCTTTATAGCCGACCTCTGCCTCAGGCCACCTCCCCAATCAGGTAAAAGTGCACAGAGGGCAGGCCCTCTCAGATAACGAGTCAGAGTGAGGAAAGGACACAGGAGGTCAAAAAAGTAGGTGAGAGAGCGCAGACAGAACAGCTGCATGTCAGCCAGTGCAAAAAGGGGCACGGGTGTGCTCCGGGGACTGCGAGCGTAACAAAGATGCTCAAACAAAGCTACTGCACAGGACACGCCTCCTCCATCTGCACTAGGGCCTTGCTACTGTATTCTGGAAGGACCGGGAGAAGGGCAAAGGAGGACGGTACTACTGCTGAGCGACCAGCGACTGGGGGCTGCATGCTCAAAGTCAGGGCTGGGCAGAAGCACAGAGGCAGCAGCAGGAGCTCCACAGCAGGAGCATCGGGAGACAGGCAAGGAGGCAAAGCCACAGAACCGTGCACGGGAATGGCAGGTCAGCGTCAAACACGAGAAACAACTGCGGAAGGTCTGGGACAAACCAGAGGAACCGCTTTTAAATATCTCCTTGGGGAAGGCCTTTCTAAGAAAGATATAAAAACCACAAGGCACAGCAAAACCTACTGTTACAAAACGATTTTTGTATTATCAGTGCAAAAAAAGTAACGAATTGACTGCATAAACTTGTTTTTTAAACATGGAAAGAGACACCACAAACAAGATTAAAATTTGTCCACCCAAGAAGCTGGACCCAAACAGATAACAGCAGAAAAGAAATGGAAATAACTCTTAAACATATAAAAAGACGTTCAATATTGTTTACAATGAGGACAAGCAAATGAAGCCTACAGGTTGATGGTAGACTTTATTGATTTTACTGGCAAAGAATGAAGAGCCTGATGACTGTGTGGCCCAGGACATGCAGACCTACAGGCTCTCACGTCATGTGCCAATCCAAACTCCACGGGTGGCAGTTGGCAAAATGTGTGGCAACGCAGAACATACCTGCCCTTAACCTAACAAGATGCTTTTCCTCTAGGAATTTACCTGTAGTTACATCTAAACATACAGAGAAACAGGTCTGTGCAGGGGTTTTAATTGTATTGTCTATACCATAAAAAAGAGTAGAAGTAACTCACAAGCCTACTACAGGGGACCTGGTGAGTATGCAATGGTGCAGTTTTACAAAACAGCACTGTGTGCAATCACTACATACAAATGAAGAGACAGCTCTACTTGTCCCCATGGGTGATCATCTCCGTGGCCCATTACTAACTCAAAAAAGCTCTTGCATTAACACAGACAGTGAGGCACCAGGTTATACATGTACAAGATGTTTCTGGACGGATACACAAGAACCTGGTAGCCATGGCTAGCTCAGGGAATGGAAACAGGGCAGAGAGGAGTGTGGGAGTTTTCACTGATACCCCTCTGTGCCTTTTGAATTGCTACCATATACATATATGAATTCTTAACTCTAATTAAAACATACAGGGCCAGAGATGTAGCTAAGTGCTAGAGAGTTTGACTAACGTGCGAGACCTTCCTTTCAATCCTCAGTACTGCAAAGAGAAGGAAAAGAAAAAAACAGTAACACCTCAAATAAAATGGTCTACCTTGCATTGTCCAAGAGAGTACCACTAGCATCATGTGACGACTTAAATTTAAGGTAACTACAATTAAATAAAATTTGAAATTCGTTCCTCAGCTACCCTAGCCACATGTCAAGTGCTCGGCAGTTACATGTAGCCTGTGGCTATCATAGACCATTTTCATTGTAACACTAAGTTCTGCTGGCTGATTGTGGACTCTACACTAGCTTAAAAGGCAGTGAAGGACAGCAATCAAACTGCAGTTTCTCATGAGAAGAAATACAAATGTGATTGCTATCGGGACGAGAGTCCCTCCATCTCCACACATCAGCTGGATGGCCTGTAAGATAACACGTGAAGATTGGGGGGACTCCTGCCCTATGTGACTTGTCTGAGGTCAAGTCCACTTGGCAGGAACTTTAGCCTTTAAGGCTCCAAGTCCAGTAGTCTAAGACAGAAGATAAGAGATTTCCACCCTGGAATCACACAGCCATAAATTCCTATCTTCTGTGTGATTCTGGGAGAAGACTGATGAGAGGGTTTGCTGCCCTGCTTTATACAGCACCCCTCAAGGGCTTTTAAAGAAGCAAACTGACCAAGAAGAAAGGCAATGAAGCATGTGTCAGCAGTCCTGACCATGTGTCAGAAGTCTTGACCTAGTTGGGCGTGGTGGTGCACGCCTGTAATCCCAGCACTCGGGAGGCTGAGGCAGGAGGATCCTTGCGAGTTCAAGGCCAGCCTGGGCTACAAGGTGAGCTCAAGGCCAGCCTGAACTACATAGCAAGACCTTGTCTCAAAAAAAAAAAAAAAAAAAAAAAAAGAAGTGGTGACCTGGTGGAGCATTTTGAAAATATCGCTTTTGGGCCAAGGTGTGGGCTGGGATAGTCTGAAATAACCACCTGCTGGAAATCATGTTGAAGAAAAGACACACTGCCGAAATGCATGCCAGTCCCCCGCTGGTTAAAACAGAAGCAAAAAGCCACTGGGTGCTTTACCTGCACGGACTCTACAGTCCTCAGGCTCTGGGGGAGCCCACAATAAGCTTTCATCCTCCTCAAAGCCAAGTGCTAGAAAGAGCATTACATAAAGATTATTTTTCAGATGACTAGAAGGAATTAAAATAGCCCTGTATATGGCTGTGCTATAGCAGGCCTAAAATAGAACCCGGGTATCCAAACACATTTTCCTGTTACCTAAACCAGTATGCGTAAACAAGAGGAACAGTTAGGAGATTAAAGGTTTTACATCTTGAAAGAAGGTGAGGACATTTTAGTAGGACAATTCTGCCTAGCATTCTCCCCCTCCTCTCTCCTCCCCAGGTAGGGTACAGGACAATGAGCAAGAAAAGGGAAATACGGTAAAGCCATACTCGAAATTTCATAGTTCAGGGTGAGACACAGCTTTGTTTGCAACTTTAGCCAAGTGAATAAATCAAAAATCAAAACTATTTTAAAAGTAATAACAAATACTAAAGATAGTATGAAAAGTCCTTCCCATTAACATTTGGTTATCCTAGTGTTATTATGAGGCCATTTTTGCACAATATATACTAGAGCTTCATTCATTTCTCAAGGGCCTTTCAATCGTCTGAGTTCTCGAGTCTCTGTCCTCAGCTGTTGACAAGTCCCACACTGCCACATCCTAGGACGGCTTTGACATGTCACTCTAGCAATTCTCCATCACTCGCTTTGGTTTCGTGAAATCCTGCCTCTCTTGCAAGAGTTGCTATTTTCCTTTGCACCGCTAGTCTTAAAACATCTCTGGCCTGGGTGAGACAGATGAACACAATACAGATGCTGCTAGGGCCTGGATGGCCACCAGGACAGGAAAGCAGAGGGACAGATGGTGCACACGAACTGATATGACACGTAGCAAGTCCACCAGTGAGTATTTTCCTGGCATGAGAACTTCTGGTTCCCATCTACAAACTGGCAACTGTGGGGATCCAGGTACAGGATGGATCCCCTAATATGACCCCCTCATGACTATACCTGAACTGACCTTCTGTTATTCTCACTTTCTTTCTCTGTAAGACATCCTGTACCAGCCCACCTCCCCTTTAAAAACTCTTGCTGCAGTCCAGGCGTGGTGGCTCACGCATGCAATCCCAAGGTAGAAGTAGGAGGATCACAAGTCTGAGGCCAGCCAAGGCAAGTTAGCAAGACCCTATTGCAAAATGAAAAGGGCTGGGAATATCTCTTGGCAATAGAGCACTTGCGTAACATGCATCAGGCATCCCTAGTTCAGGAACAAATAAACAACAAAAAACCCTCTGATGGAGACCGCTACGAAGAGTAACCAACTGCCCTTTCATGTGTACTTATGAGTTTGTCCCAGACCTAGGCCCCTTGTCTGGAGGTGGGCAGCGGACTCAGAGTAAGTGAACCTCTACGAGTCACTGGTCCCCACTGAGGCCTGTAACGGCAGGTGAAGCAAAGGACAAGCCAAGGCCACAGCTAAGGACACCTGGCTCCAACCTTAACTAGATAAAGACTGTAGCTGCAGGCATCTCACTCCTGGGTGGAGACCTTCCTGGAGCGAACACAGTTCTCCTAAATTAACACAGTTCTCCTAAATTAACTCCAATTACTTGGAGAAGCCCTAGAGCAGAATTCCAAGGTCCTTAAATGCCGGCCCTTCAAGCAGAGTCTCATCTTGCTTCGGTATTCTGGCCTTAGTTCTGATAACTAAATAAATACAGGCCACCCAGAGACTATCTTTGTCTCAGCCCCCAGAGAATCTCGAATTCTGTTAAGAGGGTTTTGATCCTCAAGCCCTGAAATCATTCCATTTGTCTCTTGTATTTAGCATTCCCGTCCACTTGTTTGGGAGACTGCGGACCTATCAGTCTGCAATACCTAAGTAACAACACTAACGCCACACAAAGTTAGCTCCCTCACTCCCCCACTTAGCCCTGCCTCAGACCGCGCAGCCTCCACTTCCCCCTCCCTGCCCCAGAGTTTTGAATGAACACTTGCTCCTCGTGGTACCTGTAATTTGTGGTGCATGGTGAGACAACTGGCTGTGCCCTCCACAAGCTGCCAACTCCTCAGAGACAAGTTAGGCTGCATCTCTACATCCGTTGTGACACTTAACACCCACTGTACCTTGTCCTCGGTGGACACTTGGTAAACGCCAAACAACAAGCTTCTGTCAACATGCAACCACCGTCTCAGACAGAGAAGGGGCCAGGGCCTTCAGCCACTGCGCAGACTTGGGTACGGAAGCAGGAGTCAACAGAGCTGCCTAGCTGGTGTCCACGCAAACCCGATCTCACCTGCCCTGTGCCGCCAGCACAGTGAGATTCCTC